GTTCCCATGAAGATTTCCATTTATCCCGATTTAATGCTGCAGGTATTTCAGAAAATCCTCTGTTAAACAAAGCAAAAAGGGAATTTCTCCCCAAGTCCCAGCCAGCAGTCCTCCAGATAAATTGATCATTCATTTCCTGACTATTTATGGACTGTAAACAAATTGTCTGCCTCATTTGCCTACAAATACACAGTTGCTAGACTTTGTTGAAAATGCTCTCAGACATTTCAACATCAGATGGCACCATATCAAATGTAATTCACATCCTCCCAACGTGAGAAAAGCGCTATACAAATGTAGTTTGTTGTTCTTGTTCTTGTAGGCATTATTATTATATTGGCTCGGCTTCTGTTTCAACAAGTATTTTAATGATTGATTCTGCTTAGAAATTGGATCAGTGTTAAAATAAAGGGTAATCTGGTTTTACACATTGTATTGAAGAGTCAACAAGTTCCTGATCCCAATCCCCAGATCAGGTGCAAATCCTTGATTATCCAGCACTTTGGGACATCCTACCGACACGAAAGGCGCTGTACAAATATAATTTGTTGCTCTTGTTGTTGTTTTAGGATTAAAGCAAACAAATCATGGAAGCATTCAGCTAGACAATTACTAGTTAACATCTCCATCTCTGTTCCCTCCCATTGCTTTTGGGACATCCTCCCGAGGTGAAAGGCGCTATACAAATGTAATCTTGTTGTTGTTGTTGTTTGGGGCACAGAGTGAACGTGTTATTAGTGAAATATTCACACTAGAACTGCTGAAATTGTTGAATCTTGGAAATTCATTTTCGGAAGTAAAGTAAAAGCGTTGTCCAAGGAAAGTAAGCCCGAAGCGAGGAATCGGCTGTTTAATGATACGGTGTAATTTAATGCGAGGACATGCAGTCTTGCTGGGGATTTGCAAGTTACTGAAGGCTGAAGGGAAGACAATCCAACAAATGTCACAATCTGGGTGTAACTGAGACTGCAAAAAGTCGCTCAGGTCTGACAGCAGCTTCATCAGTCAACTCCAGCAAAATCAGTTCAGCAGAGGATCGATTTGGTAGATCAAGTAACAGGTGATGCACACCTGCTAATGTCAGGCAGGTAAGTGGGGTGGAGGTAAAGTGAAGCCAAGTGCGAGTCTCCATTGATGTTGGTCCTTGTGGAGATTTGTGAAATGTGAAAAGTTGGCACCTCAGTTAGACTGGTAAACACAGCAAACAATTAACACGGTGTATTGTGCCCATCTGTGCATATTGTATCACAGTTATTTCCACGGTTAGCTCACCGACTGGGCATCACACCTGACTGGTCACTGTATTTATGACTGTAATTCCCTTTGCTCATTCTCTTTCCCGTTGTCGTGTGAGTGTATCTCAAATGCACACACACACACGCACACGCGTTTGCCTTTGTGTGTACAGCTGCACTATGTGTGTACACATATGCGGGTGTCCGCGCGCATTGGGTGAGGTTCACACACCGAAAGTGCGTGCACTTGGGTACGTGCACATGGCACACGGGACGGGCACCAGTGGGAAAGATCCTCCCGATCTCTGGTCAACACTGCCATCGGGACCCCCGCAGGTCAGTGCGTGGTCCCTGTGCACTTGAACGCTCCCTTTGGGGAAACACTCCCGACATGTTTCATCCCAACCCCTCTCCCCCCTCCCCAACCCCCCCTCCCCAACCCCTCGTGAAACACAACCCTACAGAGTTCATCCTAATAGATGTTTACGGGAAATCATTAGTAACTCTCGGGCGCTCGTGAAAGAGGGTATTTAGAGCCTTGTCCCGATCTTTATTTGTCAGTGTAGCACATGCAATGCTGTGTCCTGACCAGGAACTCCCAACAGGAAGAGTCCGCTTAACGCCATTCACTGTGAAACAAGGGGCAGCTCACATGTAAAGCCCGGAATAAGCCACTTCATTCCTCCCCAAACTCCAGAATCGGATCCCAATGAATTGCATTGCGTCAATCTACGATATCATCTCGTGTATAGGGATGAGTCAGAGCTGTGGGGGGGGGGGGTTGCAGGGGGGTTTGCAGGGGGTTGGAGGGGGGGGGTTTAGGGTTTAACTAACTGGCCATAACACTGTGCAATTTTTTTTTAGGGGCGAAAGTAGGACCCGATCTGAAATCCGGTTCTCAGTGGAGATGCTCTTTTTTTTTTTGGGTCGGTTGTCCGTTTGAGACGCAGTGTTTCTTTGCAACGCGACCAAAACGGTGATCGAATGCAAATCAATACCCTCATGAAACAGCGAGGACCCCCCTCCCCCCCTCCTCCCCTCCTCCCTCCCCTCCTCCTCCTCCTCCTCCCCTCCCCCCTCCTCCCCCCTCCTCCTCCTCCTCCTCCTCCCCTCCCACCCCCCTCCTCCCCTCCTCCCACCACCAAACAACAACAACAACAACAACAAGTTACACGTTTACGATCGGGATCAGCTCCTGGATTCAGAAATACCGACGTTGAAGTTGGACCGATTTAAGGAACGCCCTCCACCTGCGGCCCTCACCCCCTCTCTCTCGTGGGTGGGGTTTGGATGGAGTCAACCGATCCTTCCTTTACAAGAGGGGCTTTTTATTTTTATTTTATTTTTTTATTTTTTTTTTATTTTTGCATTTATTTATTTTTTTTTATTTTATTTTATTTTTGCATTTATTTTTTTTTTTTTTTTTTGCTTTTTTTGCACTGACATCTCCCGTCGTCGGGAAAGAATCCCAGCGGTTGGGACGGGGCGGAGGGGATTGGATTGATTCTCTGCAGCGAAAGAAGAGTTTGCCCGGAACACTCCCTCTGGGTTTTTTTTTTGCAGAAGTCAAGACCAGAGCTCTCAATCGCTTCGTCGAAGCACTTTTCAGCGTTACTCGCGATGTTGCACTTCGCGAGGATGCAATTCGGGGGTTTTACAAAATTGCAACCTCATGAAAAGAGGGGAGGGGGTGGGGGGGGGGGTGGGGGGGGGAAATACACGAAACACGATCTCTCCCCCCCCCCCCCCCCTCCCCACTCCCGGCAATCCATTAGATCCGTGTAAAACCATTTACAAAGTAGCGTTGCAGCCCCCAGTTGGAGAGTGAGCACTGATCTGTCATCTCCCGACGTCTGAGATGTGGTGGGTGGTGTGGGTGTGTGGGTGTGTGTGTGGGTGTATGGGGGGTGGGGAGGGTTAGTGGGGTGTGTGTGTGGGGGGGAGTGTATGAGGGGTGGGGGGGGTAGTGGGGGTGGGGTGTGTGTATGGGGGGTGGGGGGGGTGTATGGGGGTTGGGGGGGGGTAGTGGGGTGTGTGTGGGGGTGTATGGGGGGTGGGGGGGTGTATGGGGGGTGGGGGGGGTAGTGGGGTGTGTGTGGGGGGGTGGGGGGGGTAGTGGGGTGTGTGTGGTGGGGTGTATGGGGGGGGGGGGGTGTATGGGGGGTGGGGGGGTAGTGGGGTGTGTATGGGGGGTGGAGGGGGGTAGTGGGGTGTGTGGGGGGGTGTGTATGGGGGGGGGGGGGGTAGTGGGGTGTGTGGGGGGGTGTGTATGGGGGGGGGGGGGCAGTGGGGTGTGTGGGGGGGGTGTATGGGGGGTGGAGGGGGGTAGTGGGGTGTGTGGGGGGGTGTGTATGGGGGGTGGGGGGGGTGTATGGGGGTGGGGTGTGTGTATGGGGGGTGTATGGGGGTGGAGGGGGTAGTGGGGTGTGTGGGGGGGGTGTGTATGGGGGTGGGGGGGTGTATGGGGTAGTGGGGTGTGTGTGGGGGGTGTATGGGGGGTGGAGGGGGGTAGTGGGGTGTGTGGGGGGGTGTGTATGGGGGGTGGGGAGGGGTGTATGGGGGTGGGGGTGTGTATGGGGGGTGTATGGGTGGAGGGGGTAGTGGGGTGTGTGGGGGGGTGTATGGGGGTGGTGGGGTAGTGGGGGTGTGTGGGGGGGTGTATGGGGTGGGGGGGGTAGTGGGGTGTGTGGGGGGAGTGTATGGGGGTGGGGGGGTAGTGGGGTGTGTGGGGGGGGTGTATAGGGGGTGGAGGGGGGTAGTGGGGTGTGTGGGGGGTGTATGGGGGGTGGTGGGTAGTGGGTGTGTGGGGGGGGTGTATGGGGGTGGGGGGGTAGTGGGGTGTGTGGGGGGAGTGTATGGGGGGTGGGGGGGTAGTGGGGTGTGTGGGGTGGGGGGGGGGGTGTATGGGGGGTGGGGGTAGTGGGTGTGTGTGGGGGGGTGTATGGGGGGTGGAGGGGGTAGTGGGGTGTGTGGGGGTTAAGTTCTGATTTGATTTAAGAGAGAGCAGCGGTTTGATTGGTCAGAGTTGGGCTCAGCCCTGAGTTGGGTCACATAACAGTGCGTTTTGCAGCCCCGATAGGAACAGAGCAGCCGAGAGCCCGAGAGCCACACTCACTCACTCACTCACTCACTCACACAGAGCAGCCGAGAGCCACACTCACTCACTCACTCACACAGAGCAGCCGAGAGCCACACTCACTCACTCACTCACTCACTCACACAGAGCAGCCGAGAGCCACACTCACTCACTCACTCACACAGAGCAGCCGAGAGTCACACTCACTCACTCACACACACAGAGCAGCCGAGAGCCACACTCACTCACTCACACACACAGAGCAGCCGAGAGCCACACTCACTCAGTCACTCACACACACACAGAGCAGCCGAGAGCCACACTCACTCAGTCACTCACTCACACACACACAGAGCAGCCGAGAGCCCGAGAGTCACACTCACTCAGTCACTCACACACACACACACAGAGCAGCCACTCAGTCAGTCAGTCGGTCAGTGCCTCCCTCTGCCCCTCTGCCCCACACCACCAGACCCCGGGACAGCCACAGGACAAGGCTCTGCCTCTCGCATCCATCGCACAGGCAGCAAACTATCCGCAGGCGACCCCGACCTCTGCAACTTACGCGAGGAACTTTCCCCCCTTCCCCCCCCACCTCCCCCCCCACCCCTCCCCCCACCCCCACCGCCACCACAACAACAACAACAACAACGTTTAGATCCCCAACTCATCAGCCGGAGTGCAGCCGCCGCTGCGCTGTGTGTGTGCGGAGGGGATGGGCAGTTTGCGGACCCTGGTGTTCGTGTGTGTCGGGTGGAGCTGCTGCGGTCTGGGCTTCTCGGAGGCGCTGAGGGAGGGTCTCCGCGGACTGAGTGGGATGTCCGGTCCGGGCGGCGGGAGGGGGGACCCCGTCACCCCCAGGAAGCCCCCCAGCCCCAAAGCTTCGGGTCTGCTCCGGGACACGGTGTCGGAGCACATGTTGATGCTCTACACCAAGTACAAGGACTCGGGCTATCAGCTGAAGGATGGAAACACGGTCCGCAGTTACAAAGCACATTTGGGTGAGTACACAGCGCAGAAGATGGGGGTCATGTTACCCCGAATGAGAAGAGTGGGGGGTGTGTGTGTGTGTGGGGGTATGTCACTGTTGGGGGGGGGGGGGTCTCGGTGTGTTTGCACTACAGGTGAGTTGGATTTTGCAAGAAAACTTGTGCCTACAATGTCTTTTTTTTTGGAGCATTCAGTGGCGACTGTCCGACCCGAAGCCCAGTTGTCCTGAGGCTGTGGTTAACTCTCCCGAGTTCCCCCCCCAAAGACTTTGTAAACACAAAATTAGGAGAATTTTTTTTCTGATGCAAAAAGTACTGGGGATCTCTCCATACTGTGGCTCTCAGCGAATGTAACTGGGGACCTCTCTCGATGCGGATTGCATTTTAATTCTGCGTCCTGGGGTTTTCTCATCAGTTCGTTGCACTACATTTGTGGAGTCCTGTAGCTCAGTGGTTAGAGCACTCGCTTTGCAAGTGAGAGACCTGAGTTCAATTCCAGGCAGAGGGCGAAACCTTGGGCAAGTTTCCTTACTCCACACAGAGCCTAATAATAATCCCTCCAAAACCAAAAACAATAATTAAATTGGTCATTTTCAATCTACGACTGTTTGTGGGACATTGCTGTGCGCAATTGGCTGCCACGTTCGCCCACAAATATACAGTCAATTCACTTTACAGTGTGTTCTGTGAAGCGCTTTGGGACGTCCTCCCGACGTGAAAAGCGCTATATCAAATGCAAGGATTATTATTATTATTATTATATTACATTTGAAAGAGATGACATGCCACTGTCAACCAGTCAGTTGCATTGGATTTGGTTCCCTTTTAACAGCACCGGTTGCGTTGGCTTTTCCATGGTTTCCCATTATTTGCCCACACATACACAGTCACTACACTTCACGGTAAATCCAGCTCTGAGGCATTTTGATGACGTGGTGAGGTGCAACATCAAGTGCAAGGATTTATAGATATTTTTTTTATCTCAATCAGTTGATGCTCTGGTTTGGAAAACAATCCATTTTTTTTTGGGGGGGGGGGGGTATTCTGCTGCAATTAAAGTCAGATCATCTGGTTTTGAGTTGCAATTTCCTAGAATGAATTAGGACATGTTGTGTTCCTGGGGCAATGATTTTTTTTATAAACTCAAGTTAATAATCTCCGAAGATAATGCTGGAGAGTACCTTCGGGGCTCAATTACGTGACCGATCCACAGCGGAGTGGATCTGTCGCGGCTCAGCTCTGATTGGAATCGTATTTCCCTCCCCACGGTTTTCTCCCCTTGTGCTCAAGTTTTCAAGGAGAGCAAGTAAGTCATTGGTGAGAAGGAACAGCTTCAAAGGTGGGCAGCAACTCTCCAGTGTTGTGCTGAAATTGCTGCCCTTCGTGGTCAGTTGGTTCCCTCATTTCCCCCTCTCGACTCTCTACCCCCTCCTCTCTCCCTCCCTTTCCTCCCCTCACCCTGACCATTTCCCTGCTCGGGTCCTGACCCAACTGTCCAGCGCCTTGGGATGTCCTCCCAATGTGAAAGGCGCCCTATAAATGGAATCTTGTTGGTGGTGGTGGTGGTGTTGGTGGACTTTTGCAGTATGAGAGAGTCACAGCCCAAACTCAAACCTGTCCCCCCCCACCCCCACCCCCACACTTCCAATAGGAGTCACTGGATAGCGGTTATGAATGGAAACCTTGGCCAAACCTTTTTCCAGCCTTAGCAGAGAAACACTGAGGCCAATTGTGATGTCCCCACATCCGATTTGCTTGAGATTAGGTAATTCACCACAGACCAGCGGATTGAACCTGGAGCTTTCTTATTAATCTCTGTCGCTACTTACAACGCGCATTGCATGTAGTCACTAAACCATCAGGGGAGCTATGTTATTGCAATTGTTGTACGCTGGAAGAAAGAATGGGTACGTATGTTACTACAAAATAATCAAGTGGTAATTTTAAGCCTGAAATCTAATTAAAGGGTTCAAATTAGATTAACGAGACATTCAAGCTTCACTTCCCACAGTATGCGATGCAGTTAAATTGAGAGTAAAATATACTTGGGTGAGATTTATAAGGCTGCATGCAATTGAAGGTTTCAGATTAAGTCATAAAGCATGAGAGCAAAGGTCAAGCAATTTATAAATACCTGGAATCCACGATTACGTTACGACCTTGGTTGGCGTCATGATCAGATATCTCATTCGCTTTTTAAATATTTACCGTTGTGTTTATGAAGATGACAATTTCATTTCTGGATGTTTTATATCAGTGAGGTCAGGAGGTACCACACACCTAATTCATCTGAATATTCACGACCAGGTGCTTTGTACCAGGAAGTAGAACCCAAAAAGGAAATAACTGCTGGAAATCTGAAATCAAATCAGAAATTGTTGGAAATTCACCAGTCGATCAGCATCTGAAAGAGAAAAGCAGGGCGATAGTTAGGAGTGTGTCAATACTTTAGTCGTCTTGCATCAAATGTGAAGAAACTAAAGCTCAACTCATTTTTTTTTCAGATGTTAATTGATCTGATGTGCATTCTCATTTTATAATATTATTAATACTACGTGTTGGTTATAAAGCGTTATTAAACCTTTGTTTCTGTTTGTTACTGAATTTATCAAGATATGAAACAACTTGTAAACATTATAGGATACTTCACTGTAGTATTCTGCCTTTGAATATAAACTTGCACTCATTTTAGGAATGCATAGATTTTGCTGAAATGTTTTCCCCAAAACTTTACCCTGGATTTAAGGACATTTCCACCATTCTCTAATGTAACCTGAGGTATCAAGAGATTGGCACTGAAATGGGTATCAGTTGACACATCTTGAAATCAATGCATTCTTTTTATATTGACTTTTAGATTTGCTCAATAAGTTTGATATTCATATAAGGTGAAGTACCTGAGCACTGAACCCACAAATTACCTTCCCAAAATTTGTTTTAGTTTTCTTGACTAATAAAACATATCAAAATTTCATTAAAGATACACTATTGTGCTGTTTGTTGTTGAGTGGGCGGATGAGGTGAGTTTCCAAATGAAAATGTATTGGAATCTCCAATTCCAATCAAACATACCACTTGTATATGTTCTCATCGCTTTTCCGGGGGTAATAATCCCTTCAAAACAAAAGTAATAATAACTTGGTCACTCAATCCACGACTGCTTGTGGGGCATTGCTGTGCGCAATTGGTTGCCGCATTTCACCCACAATATAAACAGTCACTACACCTTACAGTATATTCTGTGAAGCGCTTTGAGATGTCTTGATGCTGTGATGAGGCGCTATATCAAATGCAAGGATTATTATTATTATTACTGTCTCATTGGGAACGGGCTCAGGTCTCCTACTTCCTTTCTAAAACAGGAGATGATGTGCAAATTCTTAAAAGAAATCGAGGAAAAAAAATTGAAAATTCACCCCTAATACTTCTTCAGAATTGTTTTTTCTTTTTTGAAACATTCAAGCAATTGAGAAGTTCATTGCTCTTCCACATCCCAAGCATTGAGCGTGACAACACCTATATGTGCCTTTACAACGTTCACGTGCTGTGCCATCTTGTAGTCAATGCACTCCTCAGTCGTCTTGCACTCAATTTTTTTTTGTCTTCCATCACATTGAGAATTCATTTGCCAGCCTTTTGAAATCGTCAAACTGTTCAGAGTTATGTCATTTGAACTTCTTTTTAGACAGTAATGTTACACAACAGTGATGACAACTTTACATTTATTTAGCGCTTTTCACATCAGGAAGACATGACAAAGCTCTTCACTGGGAGCCCGGGAGTGGGGGAGCTGAGGAGGGTAGGGGGGGGAAGAGAAAAAGTGACCAAAGTCCAGTTTGATACATCGTACATCACAGTCTTGTCTATTAACCATCTTACTTAATTTCATTTTGATCTTGGTTCAGTTGTAACCAGCCTTTCAAAGTGAACTTTGATTGTCACGGCATACTCCCAGTGCCACTACATAGTCACATGTTGTGCAACCTCATAATTTCACTTGAAAATCACACCTTTTCTACATAGGTATGTGCAACTAACTCCCTTTATAAATATGGAATCTAATGACTCACATCTCTTCTATGCTGGATGTATCATTGTTGAATGCCCTTGTTACTCATGCTACGTTTCATTTTGAAGTCAAAAATGTTCAGAGCTGAATTCTTCCTGCTTTCCCCCCACCAATTCAGATATTATATCTCTGTACATATTGCTGCTGTGGGTCATTGCAATATCATGTACATTTGAGATTGTAAGTTGCATTTGATGGCGAAAGAGCTCCCCCTGTCATCAGCAATGGGTCTCTGTGAATCAGCAAGTTTCACACCAAGCTTTTATTTGAAATCTGCCACAGATCAAGTCAGACAGACATATCTGCATATAAGAAGCTTGACAGTAAAGTAACTGAATCAGGACAGGGATATGGATTCACATACAACAGAAATACATCTAAACCAGTGAGGTTACAGTTACGCTTTCATAGTGTGTCTTCACCACAAGGGTGAAGGCACCTTTTACTGTACAAATTGGTTGTGACAAACAGCACTTACTTGTTTTTTCCACACTTGTGAATTGATATAAAGTGTAAATATATTGAATTATATGTTGTGAATTTAAAGTGTAAGTGGTAATAAATGTCATGCAGTCACTTATGTGAAATCAATTCAATAGATTTGATCGAATGATGTCATAAACCAGACAACAAAACTCAAGTGGTTTATAGACGTCAGCTGATAGTTATTACAGTACATTCACTTAATGCATTGAATTCACCACTAGATGTTTGTCATTCTTTATTTTTGTGTAACAGATAGCTTGTTTATTTTAGATCGGCATTTTAACTGTTATGTAATGTGTGGGACAGATGCAATGCTAGACCTGGTGTAACTAGGTGAAAGGGTAACAAAACTGGCAGTGACAATAGGACCTAAGTGGTATGTGAATCGCATAACATAATCGTGGAGTCCTGCAGCTCAGTGGTTAGAGCACTCGCTTTGCAAGTGAGAGACCTGAGTTCAATTCTAGGCAGAGGGCGAAACCTTGGGCAAGTTTCCTTACTCCACACGCCTAATAATAATCCCTCCAAAAACAATAATAAATTGGTCATTTTCAATCTACGACTGTTTGTGGGACATTGCTTTGCGCAATTGGCTGCCGCGTTCGCCCATAAATATGCAGTCAATTCACTTTATATTCTGTGAAGTGCTTTGGGACGTCTAGAAGACGTGAAAAGCGCTATATCAAATGCAAGGGTTATTATTATTATTATAACGTATGCTATAATACAGTATTACAGCTGGGCTATCTGTCCTCTACAAGATTATGACCCTGAGTGGCATCAACAAAGTTGTTAGCGTGTAAGAGAGACCTCTATGCCTATGCCAGGAACACAAGAGCTGCTGCAGCTGCCCATCAACATTCTGCATCAATACCAAATGCCTGCAGCGAATAGCAGTGGTGAAGCTTCACACTGCACACCCTCTTCTGTGGAGCTTTCTCCTAGGGAGCGTCTCCCTATGTGCAGATTCAAATGTATAGAGTTAGCTATTGTTGTCAAAGACAGTTCGAGCTTGCAATAACTATCGAAAAACTCTGGCTTTTCTTAGGGTAACCCACCACAAGTGTCCAATATTGTTATTGTACTTTTGTGACATTTGCTGTTTCAGGCTGCACCCTGTTTCATGCCTCCGAGGATTACATTTTCTTTTCTTTTTTGGTTTCCCCACGGTCAAGCAAACTGTACGCAATACGTGATAAACAATTATATAATAAGTAGAGTAGAATAAGTTAATTACCAACAGAGAATCAGACGTGCAGCCACCAAGGTTGGTAAATATGGAGCTCTCTGGTTTGGATACTCTAAAGCATGGTGATGAGTTTCCGCATATGTCATACATCTGGTTAACCAAACAAAAACACCCTAGCATTGCCATAATCTACAGCATAAGTTAAAGGAGGATTGTTTACATGGGCACCTTTTTGTGTGTGTGGCGGGGTGGCCCTGCAAGAGTGAGAAAAAATAGAAGAGCCATACGTCAGTTTTGTTACAATGCCACACTCAAATGATATGTAGACATCTCTGATAATGTGTTTGAGCATGATTTATGTCATCATATCAGCTGTTTGCAGACAAATTAAAGGTTTGTCAAACACTTTAACAATAACAACAACAAGATTACATTTGTATAGCGGCTTTCACGTCGGGAGGACGTCCCAAGGCGCTGAACAGTGTACAGAGTTTCAGACCCGAGCTGGGGTCAAGCGGGGAGAAGGGAGGGGAAGGGGGGGTGACCGATGGCATGGTCGAAAAGGAGGGTTTTGAGGTAGGACTTGAAGGAGGCTAAGGAGGGGGCGAGGCGGAGTGATTGGGGGATCGAATTCCAGAGGTTGGGGGCAGAATGGCTAAAAGCTCTCCCGCCAATGGTGGATCGGGGGACGTGGAGCAGGCTGGAGCCGACTGAGTGGAGGGAGCGGGCAGGTTGGTAGGGGGTTAGGAGGTCGCAGAGGTACAGTGGGGCGAGGCCATGGAGGACTTTGTATTTGAGGACCAGGATCTTGAACTGGATCCTCTGAAGGATAGGGAGTCAATGGAGTCGGGCGAGAATGGGGTAGGTGGGGTCGCGGAGTTTGGTGCGGGAGAGGACACGGGCTGCAATCTGTGGAGGGAGGAGTTGGGAAGGCCGACAAGCAGGGCGTTTGCATAGTCGAGCCTGGAGGTGATGAAGACATGAACAAGAGTTTCAGGGGCCTGAGCGGTAAGGTAGTGGCAGAGTTGGGCGATGTTATGGAGGTGAGGGAACATGAACAACAACAACAACAAGATTCCATTTATAAAGCGCCTTTCACGTCAGGAGGATGAAGATAGTGTCCCTTTTAGGTAATAAACTGTAGACTACACAGAACATGCCATAACATTTTTCATCAAGATAGTGCCTCTTTAACTTTAACTCACTGACTTTTCACAATTTTTTTTTGTTGGCTGTAATGAAATTTTAGCTTTTAAGGCAAATATTGTGCTGTTTCACGATGCTCTAAAAACTTCTGTTAAATATTCTATGCATTTAATCTACACTGCTACTGTGGAAATGTGAAACATTAAAAATCACAGGAACTTATTAATAGCTTGTTAGTTTGTCAGTGTACGTGCAGTTTCTACCTTACTGTGGGGTTTCACATGGATGTTTCATAGTTAATACAAGATCCAACCATGGCTTACGTAATGTGAATAGAACCAAACGCTTTTTAGAGCAGCTATGGTTTAATATAGCCCGTGATACCAAGACAATGTTTACCCTGTTTGCCTGCAATGAACAAAACCATGCATGTTTCTACTCCAAAGAGCTGACTGAATTGGACTAAATTATAGGGTTAGTGTAACTGAAGACGATTTCAAAGTTTAAGATGATATAAGAGTTCAGACTCTAATGTACACAATGCAAATTGGAAACTGCAATCAAATTCTCAAAGAAGGTGTTGTACTGGATTTCATTATTTTACATTCTTTGTCAAAGTTCATGTTCATAATAATATGGGAGTCTTTAGAGCTTTGACATGTATACATACAGGTACTAACATGGACTGAAAACACTGTTGTGAGTGGCTGAAGCACTGAAACTAGTTTTCATTCTTGCTGGTTAATCATTTGCTGAGTGCAGTAAATTTCTGTCAGTATGTCACTGAGCAATAAAACAGTATCTGTTGTGAATCTAAAACGTAAAACATGACAAGGCTGAATTTTAGAAATGAATCTATGCACGACCTTATAATAAAACAGTTTTTAAAACATACAGTGCTTTTTTTTTGCCCCATTGATTTATAGAAATAATCCTCAATGTGATATAATCCCATCAAATTCAAATGTGGTAATGTCATTTGTGGTCATTTCTGTAACTTTTGGGCTAATAATGCTATCACCAGCATTGCAGTCAAGATTGTATAATATATGTTCCACACAAGTGGTCAACAATGCAAAATTAAATGCTGACCTTTTGATGGGAATAGAGATTATTTCAACTGTTCCAATATCTTGGAAACAACAATAAGCCATTGTATGTTGAAAATAATTTTCAATATTTCTGCCTAATCGATGGACAAATAGATTGCTACAGACTGAAGATAGTAGTATTCAACAAATAAAATAGACTGCAATCACCAGCAGATGGGTGAGAATTCCTAAAATAAAGGTGTAATAAATACTCTGATGAATTTGAAGGGACTTCCCTGCCATTCCTGTTTCAAAGAAGCATGGATTCTTTCTCTTAGTTGATCTAGTTTACATTCCCCTCCTAATCCACATTTACTCCCCAGTTTCAATTAACATTGTTTACCCACCTGATTGTTCTTTATGGGATTTTGATGGTGTGGATTAGCTGCCTACATAATAAAATTCACTTCATTTCTTATCAATTATGATTTTATGGAGTCCTGTAGCTCAGTGGTTAGAGCACTTGCTTTGCAAGTGGGAGACCTGAGTTCAATTCCAGGCAGAGGGCGAAACCTTGGGCAAGTTTCCTTACTCCACACACCTAATAATAATCCCTCCAAAAACAATAATAAATTGGTCATTTTCAATCTACGACTGTTTGTGGGACATTGCTGTGCGCAATTGGCTGCCGCGTTCGCCCACAAATATACAGTCAATTCACTTTACAGTGTGTTCTGTGAAGCGCTTTGGGACGTCCTCCCGACGTGAAAAGCGCTATATCAAATACAAGGATTATTATTATTATATTATATAATCTGTAAATATAATTATATCAACTAACAATTATTTTCTTTTTACTTGAAGTGTACGTTATAAATTCATGGTTGTTATTCTATTATTACAATTAAAACATTCTGATGAAGCTTTTGGGTTATAAAGTAAATGTATTGCCTTTTATTTATAAAAGAGACCAAGTGTTTTAGAGGGCATTCTAGTGGAGTTAGAATTATTTAGTTCTTCAGTTTTCTTGTGTACTTTGACATTTTGGTAGTTTCAATATTTCTAATCTTCTAATGTTTTGTTTTTATTGTAGGAAATATTGGAGATAAAGCACTGTACATCTTTAATCTGACCTCCCTGACAAAATCTGAAGATGTCTTGTCCGCCACATTGCATTATTTTGTAGGTGATCTCGTTAATAGTAGTGGCATTTGCCCTTATGCTAAAGGCTGCAGTCGTTATTTACACCGAAAACAAGTCAACGTTCATCTTTCAATCTGGGGTTTTGCCTCTGCTGGCAATGAAACCAGAACTCTGGGTCACTACATGATCAATACGTCCACTCTCTACAGAGACTTTCTCTCTTGGCAATGGAAGGACATCACACAAGTGGTCAACAATGCAAAATTAAACGATGACCTTTTGATTGGAATTGAGATCACTTCAACTGTTCCGAGATCTTGGAAACAACTCCTTTCAAACCGATCCCCTTACATCTTGGTGTATGCAAATGACAATGCAATTTCCGAACTGGACACTGTGGTGGGCACACTGCAAAAACAACAGGGCTCCTTTGTCGCCATTTTGGCAAATTTAGGAATGTCAGTGACTGACAGGATACCTGAAACCAGAAAGAAACGATCGACGCACCTACTCATGCCATTGCACAACAATGAATTGCCTGGTGCAGAATATCAGTACAATGAGGATGCTACATCGGCAGCTCGGAGGCCATACAAAAAGATACATCGTCGGCCAGCAGACAGACAGAGGAAAGGAAGACAGCGGAAGGGGAGCAGACAGAAACCGCAGACTCTTCAGTTTGATGAGCAGACATTGAGGAAGGCCAGGCGGAGACAGTGGATTGAGCCTAGAAACTGTACCCGACGTGATCTGATAGTGGATTTTGCAGACATTGGCTGGAATGAATGGATAATCTCTCCCAAGTCATTTGATGCCTACTACTGTGCAGGTGCTTGCCAGTTCCCAATGCCACAGGTGGGTTTTATTGTCTAAGCTTTCTTCCACTCCTTCTTTAGTTCCCTGTAGTGTGCAGCCTTCGTGCGTAGGTCAGCAGGCAATGCATTCCCAGCATCTGTTAAGGCTGCTTTGCAACCAGAGAATAAGAGATGCACTGGAGTGAGCTAGATAGTGCCCAAGAGTCCTAATTGTATTTATTTCTCTCCGTTCATCAGTGTTAGGTACAACTTTGGTTCTGCTCACTGCCTCCACAGTTTCTTGGAACTCAAGCTCACACCTGCACCTGCTAAGCCACAGCACACTACATCAATGTATCAGTGTCCTACTTTGCTGAACAACTCTAAAACTGTTCATACTTTTTTTAAAGACTGTAGTTGGAAAAGACAGCAGGGTGATTCCCTATTAAATGGACTGACCTTGGCTGTGTGAGTTTACAATGGGAATTTCCCTGATAATCCTGATTAATGTATGCCATTGGGTTAGTGATGGGGCTACATGAATACAGTCAGATTGCACCCTTTATCTTTGGGAATCAATCTCTGCAGCTGATGGTTCCTGCTTTGGTGAATTTAGCAGAATTCTTAGTCGAACAGGGTTTCTTCGAACAGGTTAGCCCTTTGTCACAGTGATTCACAGTACCACACAGCACACAAGCAAAATCCGAAATGTACAGTGGAGTCATGTAACTCAGTGGTTAGAACACTTGCCTCGCAAGCGAGAGACCTGTGTTCGTTTTCCAGCAAGGCGAAATGTTGGGCAAGTTTCCTTAGTCCACACACCTTTGTTTACCGAGCAGTAAGTAGGAACCCGGTTGTTAGTCGATTGACAGATCACTTTTCCGGGAATAATAATTCCTTAAAACAATAATAAATCACGACTGTTTGTGGGACGCTGTTGTGCACAATTGGCTGCTGAGTTTCACCCACAAAATATACAGTCAATTCACTTTACGGTATATTATGTGAAGCGCTTTGAGACGTCTCAAAAACGTGATAAGGTGCTATATCAAATGCAAGGATTATTATTATTACAGTGGGTATTTTGAAGACTTCCACTGACAGAACAGTTATGAGCAATGGGAATACAGTTCTAATGGAGAAGGGAGATATGTCCCGTCAGAATTTCATAGATCCAGCTGGCACACTTTCGTCACAACCTGCTGAACCTGCTTAGGCACTGCTACACTGGCATATCACTAAAACTCTCTCGTGTGGTAGAATGACTGGGACAGTGTTGCGAACCTCCAAAATTCTCTCTATACTTCTGGACTTTCCTCTCCCCTTCACTTGCATATGCCTGACAGATTACTCCATCCATGATCTCCGTCACAAAAATCGTGTGTCCATTTTTGGTCTTAATATTCACCTCCAACGCTTAACTTATCAGCTTTATTGTCCTCATGGACACTTGAGGCCCAGAATTCAATCTACTCTTATTCTTAGCTTCTTTCATCCTAAAATTTTAGATTACACAGAATTGTGGAAAATTCTGAAATTCAGTCTTAATTTAAAAGCTGGTTTGCTGCAGTTCTTAAACAGAAAAAGCTTCTAAATTAGGACCATATTTAAGAATTTTCCACAATACTCCCCAATCTTAAATTTTAAGAGCAATAGTTTTACAGTCGATTACGTGGGAGAAATTCAGGTGTCAGGTTTGAACTGAAGATGAACAAGCCTTCTCTTCTTAACTGCAAAAGTTTTGATTAACTGTTGTTGTTACTCATCGGTCTGTATGAGATGTTCAAACTGCATGACATGTAAATGTTTACACATACCAACTTGGTGACAAAAACTTTCACGAACCCGATGACAGACAGACACCTCTTATAATAGCTGCTGCACACTCTCTACGAATTAATAATTAATAATTATAATATAATTAATTAATAATTAAAAGGTCCTGTGTGTTATGTGTGGATTTATGATTTACCCTGATTTACACCAGTTGTCAAGAGTGGCCTCACAGTTTGTCAGTCCTATTTTATTGATCGGGGTTTGAAAGGAAGTTGAAAAGATGAAAATGTAAAATAATGTTCAGAAAACAAATGGCAATAATTTTTTCCCTCTATCTGTCTCTCTCTCTATCTCTCTCGATCATCAGTCTTTAAGACCTTCAAACCATGCTACGATTCAGAGTATAGTGAGAGCAGTTGGTGTTGTCCCAGGGATTCCCGAGCCGTGCTGCGTGCCCGAAGAAATGTCACCAATCGTCATCCTGTTTATGGACGAGAATGAAGATGTGATTCTCAAATCCTACCCGAACATGAAGGTGGAGTCGTGTGCCTGTAGATAACTGCCACAGTGTGAGGACTGAGTCTGGAGTTGCACTGCTGGAATTTGTGTTTCTTTTGTTTGTTTTTTTCATTTTGAATGAGAAAAGGACATTTTGATTAAGTCTTCCATCAAATGAAAACTGAATGGTGCCCTTCTATGAAAGGAATTAAAGAAATAATTTATCCTGCTCTTTATGGAACTTTATCACCTGTGTTAAAAAAATGCAGTTCTTTGAATGGACACTAGCAAATACTCAGGATTCTGAGATCGACATCTTTTCAGTCCTTAATGACTGGTAAATACAAAATAACATAGCACTTCAACAGATATTGTGTTTTACGGGCTATTATGCAGTTTGATTCTCTTATTCCCACCAAAAAAAATTGTGCAATGAGCATTTATCATAATGGGTCACTCTTCATTGCAGTACAAACTTAGGTAAACTTACAAACTCAGCCTTTGAAATATAAAGTAGCTTTTGAACCAAATGCAAAACTATTTCTAGTAAAAGATTTTTCATTTTATTTGTTGAATTACATGAACACAGAAATGTTCTATATCTGATATGTTGTTTAATGTTATAACATTTGTGGTCAACCTCATGCAACATTTCAAACTGATGAAGAAGTTCATACTCAACAGGCATTGATTCAGAAATATTCATTGCAGCCAGGTTCAAACAGGCAAACCATATCCAATGGTGCCAGCGCTGTCTTCAGGAAAGGTCTGGGAGCCAATCCAGCAATAATGGAATTGATGGTGAGTCAGTCACTTGTGTCACACACCTCTTCACCCTGAATTGAATTCAAATCCATTCACCTCCCTACCTCTCCGACCCCCTCACTCCCCAATCCACTACCCAGCACCTCCTGCTCGTCCCTCGCACCCTCCGCCTTACCATCAGAGGTCGCGCTTTCAGCCACTATTTCCCCAAACCCTGGAACACTCTCCCTCAATCCCTCCGCCTTGCCCCCTCTCTCCCCTCTTTCAATGCATGCCTGAAAACTTTCCTCCTCAACTGTACTTATGGCCACCTCGCCTCGGCTCGGAGTCAGGCTACGCCATTGTTAAGCGCTCTGAGACCCTCCCCTGTGTGCAGGGCGCTATATAAGTGCAAGTTGTTGCTGTTGAAGTGACGCCATTTAACTGGCTCATGTTGTACTCTTTACCACAAGTCAGAAAAGCAGCAAAGATAACTCTGAGGCATGATACCTACTTACACAACACTATCAGATCTGCAAAAAGTATCCATCGCATTCACTCTAATAAAGTATAGTCTTGCTCATATGAAAAAATGTGCAGTAATGCAATAAATGTAACACAATCTCCAAAGTAATTTCGACTGATGATAATGTAAGTATCACCTGTTGAAATTGTGGAGTCCTATAGATCAGTGGTTAGAGCACTCGCACGCAAGAGACCTGGGTTCCATTTCCGGCAGGCCGAAACCTTGGGCACGTTTCCTTATTCCACAAGCTTGATAATAATCCCTCAGGAAAATTTTTTAAAAATTGCTCACTTCAATCCACAACTGTTTGTGGGACACTGCTGTGCACAACTGGCTGCCGCATTTCGCCCACAAATATACAGTCAATTCACTTTACAGTATATTCTGTGAAGCGCTTTGAGATGCCTAGAAGACGTGAGAAGTGCTATATCGAATGCAAGGATTATTATTATGAAGTACATGCTTGGCAGCATTGATTGTGCTATTTGTTCCCAACAACCTAAATGTTTCATATGGTTTTAGGTGGCAAACACAAAGTGAGAATAAATAAATTATCACCATAGATTCACAATGGCTCTAAATTGCTGCATCCCTATGTGGGGTTTTCACTATATATTTTTCAGTGAATCTTGGGATGCTCTTTGTGACATCCTCCTGACATGAAAGGTGTTACATCAAAGTACAAGCATTCCATATCTAATAATGGCCATGTCTGATAGACTAAAATAGCCAGAAAAATACCTTGGATGGTGTTTTTTATTCCTTATTCAGACTAAACAGACAGAAGTAAGCTCAAACAGGCAGCACATCCAAATGTTGTGCCTTTCATTATGCTCAAAATCTTCAGTTCTGCATGAATACTTCTGATTGATGAATTGGAAGTCATTTATAACTATCTCACCAGGAATATTTTTACATCCAAAGTGTCTTCTGAATTACTTTGTTAAGACAAGTTTAATGTTGCTGCATAGCGGAATCATGGTGAAGTTTAGCTTCTAGTGCAAAATTGCTGTGTAACCTTCCAATGGATAAGGCGTAGATGAACATTTTCAGTACCTGCAGGTGACCCTAGTGATTATACCTAAGTCCCACTCTTTGGAAAGAGCAGCTTACAGCCCTGCTTTACACCTCCATTCTCTATGTGTAATCCTGAAGGATGAAAGACATAAAATGGGCATGGTGTGAACTTTCCATCTTCAGCGATACTTTCGTCACTTTTTTTTAAACTGGGATGGTCTCTAATGTGAGTTCCAGCTTTGTATTGAAACCACTGTCCTATAGCAGACATCTCTGAAGTGATTAAATATATTCATAAAAGTAATTAACTCAAAGGATGGTCTATCAGAATCAGGCTTTGCTGACACTTATTGTTGCAATCTGCTTGTCAGCCCAAATCTCAACTACAGACCAAGACTAGAAATAATTGATAATGGAAGCAAGTGGACCAAGTTATAGGCCTTGTTCTATACTTGGCTGTTTTGAATGAGATTGACTGGGTAAGACTCCAGGCACAATGAATGTGGGGCTACATCTGATCAAGTCCTCTATGTGAATCTGGAGCCAAGTGGAGTCAGAGATGTTAACACTGACCTTTGAGAATGCCTTAGAGTATTATATTTTAATCAGCAGACATAGTAAAGCATGCTATACTCTTATCCACTTGGGTAATGCATCATCTTCCATATTGTTTCTTCCAATGCGCAGTATAAGTTACCTGGGTTTTACTTTCCCATTGATTCCACAGTTCTGTCCCAGATCCAACAATATCAATAGTTTCCACTAGTTTCTTTTGCATCTCTTTTGTTCCTCTGTATAAGCATGCAATTATCAGTCATTCTGGCAGAGGAAGATATTTTATAATCATTTATAAAAAAGTAACCACCTATGTAATTTTTCAACAATATTTTTAATTCAAATGTATTTTCACATTTTAGCAGGTGCATACGCTGAATATTTGTAATGCTGGGTTGTGTATATAGTTCTATATTCGAGTTGCTACAAATATAAACATGGACAGTTAATTGCCAAAAAATTGCCAATTGAAAGATTATTAAATGAATGTGTCCTATTTTTCAACCTTATTCCCATCAGAATTGGCCAGTTTATAATAAATTAAATCTAGCATTAATAAAATTGCATGTTTTCATATAAAAAATGCTTGTTTTGAAAATATATTTTATTACAGAGACAACTGTATAGCAGTTTGTCTGTGTATCATCCATTTTTTTGAAAGGGTAAATAACAACCAAATTGCCAACTAATTCAATTTTAAAAAAGCGTAATTATTCTTTATTCAAATGTTGCATAAAATAATACAATTGTTTCCATTGTTAACTCTGACCATAAAAAGACAATATTTAAGGATGAATGAAATTATATTGGCTGTGTAATGTTTAAAGTCATTTGTATGTCTATTAACATTTATCAAAATGATACTTTATTGCAGTGTCTTTCGGTTTGTGCGTTATCTTGTATTTGACTGTAGCAGATTTAAGAAATCAAAATTTCATTCATTTGTAAAGAATTTTCTGTAAACATTGAGTTGATATGTAATATTGTACAATATGTTTTAAAATAGTACATATTTGTATATGGAAAGAAACCCTGTTGATTTTTTTTTAATTTATTTTATATTGGTGGCAGTTTGGGTTTTTTGTTGCACAGTTTCAATTTTTGGTTGCAGAAATGTGTATTAAGACTGTCAGAGGACAACAAAAAGAGCTTCAAAACCTGAACACTTCAAAGCATCTGAACTGAAACTGTGAAGGGCACTTGTCACTACTGATGTCTAAGCTTCCTTGTTTTACGATGGTTTATTGCATTAATGGCAACCTTCATCACAATCTTTGAAAGTGAATAAATTTAGTTATGCAACTAATAAAATCACAATAATTTCCTTGCCATGTTTTATCAGCAGTAAATCCTGAAATCCTATGATTTTCAAAGCTAGCTTGTTTGCCCATATAATGTTGTACTGTGTGTTACAGCCACATTGATGTTTTGTAGCAATTTGTAAAGTGTGCCATATTGATTAATATAGTTTTTTCCTTAATTCTTAATGCAGATCTCTTCAGGTTAACCCAGAGACTGCCAGTAGCTCTAGAGGAACTTCAGTCTCCCTAAGCCAAGCTGTTCTGCCAATTTTTATCTCACTCAATTCTAGAGATGAGAAGATAGAGGTGTTTAAAATTATAAGAGAGTTCAATTAGGCGAATTCTACTTGATGGTGAGTCCAAAACAAGAGGAATCAATATAAGATAGCTTGTAGCAGATCTAAGGGGGAGTTTACACAGAACATGTTGTGAATGTTGAACTCATTTGAGGAAGCTGTGGTTGAAGCAGAAAGCATTAAGCTATTTAAGAGAAAACTCAAAGAGAATAGAGGGGTATGAAAGAGGGAATATGGAGGGTGGAGACTCATACACAGTATAAACACTGAACTAGTTTCCATGTTGTATGGTCTATTTAATTATTTGATGAAGATGATAATACTAATGACAGTAATAAAGCTGTTAAAATATGAGGTACAAGTTGCAGTGTGGGACTATCCAAATTCACATTGCTTGACAAGTCACCAACCACAAAGTTACTTGGGCAGATGACTTGTGCTAGAAACACTGATAGCATTCACAAAGTCTAAGCAAATGAAGTGAGACGTCCTACAGGGCGAGAGATTCATTTTCATGGGAAAAAGTGTATCACGCAATGGTAATTGAAACTATGCCGGAAGCAAAGATTCAAAAAATGGCAAAGGTAAAAGGCAGAATTGGACCCTTGAAAGCATCTAGCCACAGTGATGGCATCACTGAAGCTAATCCCATATGGTGCTGCATCTCAAGGGTGTTTGATTAGAAGCCCTGTGTAATTCTTTGGTAGGGTTGCGTTACGTACAGTTCTGATTACCTGGCATCAACAGAGCATTGATATATTACGAAGAGTTCAGAAAAGAACGTAAAGCATAATTCAGGGAGTAAGACCTTGTCAAGTTACTTCTGAAAATTAGAGTAATTTTGCAGTTGTTTGAGTAATCTTTGATGTTTATAATACTATTGTAGAAGAACGTTTTTAACAGTGTCTAAAGTGATAGTTATCTGTGAAATTCTTTTTGGACTTCTACTTTTACTATTTCTTCATACACATACAAAATCACTAGATTGGTTCAGATGGACAACAACAACAAAATTTCATTTGTAAAGCGCCTTTCACATCGGGAGGATATACCAAGGCGCTGAACAGACAGAGTTTCGGACCTGAGCTGGGGGTCGGGGAGGGTGGAGGGCAGGGAGGGGGGCAGGGAGATTGAAAGCACTGTCGAAGAGGAGGGTCTTGAGATGGGACTTGAAGGTGGTAAGGGAGGGGGTGAGGCAGAAGGACTGCAGGATGGAATTCCAGAGAGTGGGGGCAGAGTGGCAGAAGGCCCACCCGCTAATAGTGGGGCGAGCGACGTGAAGCAGGCCGGAACCCGCCGAGCGGAGGGAGCGAGCAGGTTTAGGAAGTCGCAGAGGTGGGTGGGAGTAAGACCATGAAGGGCTTTGAAGGTGAGGACTAGGATCTTGAATTGTATTCTCTGTGAGATGGGAAGCCAGTGGACTCAGACAAGGATGGGGGTGATAGGGTCATGGAGCCTGGTGCAGGAGAGGACACTGTCGCAGAGTTCTGGATGATATGCAGCCTGTGGAGGAAGGAGTTGGGGAGGCCAACAAGCAGTGAGTTTGCATAGTCAAGCCTGGATGTAATGAAAGCATATATGAAGGTTTTGGCGGTCTGCGGTGTGAGACAGTGGCGGAGCCGGGCGATGTTGCGGAGGTGAGGAAAGGCAGAGCGGGTCATGGTGCAGATGTGGGGTAGAAAGGATAGTTGAGGGTCAAACAAGAATCCAATGTTCCAGACTGGTTTAGCAAGGTGGAGTGTTCAACCATGGATGGTGATGCTGTCAGCGCCTGAAGTGAGGAGGCGCTGACAGGAGCCAATCAGGAGAGCCTCGATTTTGTTGATGTTCAACTGAAGAAAGTTCACTCTCATCCAGGACTTGATGTCTGACAGACATTCTGTCAGGACAGCAGTGGT